GAAACTCACTCAGGAAATAACATAAAAGTGACTTAAGAAGTAAAATGATATGATGTAAAGTTAAAGATTTACATAAAAAATATAACTTTGAGTAGAAGTTCCCCAACTAAAGTTCAGATTTATCATTGAGTTTTTATTTTTCTTGTATAGAACTTGAACATTTCTCGGTGTTACGTAATTCCAGTTTCTAGTGTTTCTCTGTGTTTGACTCCGTACTATTTTCGGAAGAAAAAAAAGTATAAAGTTGGAGTTATCATCGTCAGCGAAACATTTTTGACTGTTTCTACTATAACTGTGAAAGAGAATCAAACGAAATATTCATTCGTATCTTTTTTTTTATTTTACGTGTAAAAACATTATTAGAATTATGATTTCGGAAGCATGAAAACTAAACTATTACTCAACGGTAACCAATCTCATTTCCTTAAAATATGTTAAAGTTTTTTAAAATTCAGAAAAAAATGGAATAAATCGGTTATATATGGGCAGCAGAGTTTAACATTTTGGATGAAGGCTGAACCTCCATCCAAATATAGTAGTTCGTCACAGTTCAATAACTTAAGATTAGTCGCTGAGCTTTATGTTTACCGATATTATTGTTCGAAGAAATTAGATCGAATGTGGAAAATGTGCTCGTAATTGCATAAATATGAACATTTTGGTCCTAAAATGGTCCTAAGAATACTTCTCGGGCTAAGTATTCAGGAATTACGTTGCGTATGGTGAGATGACGTGTTTGTGATGTCATTCACTGATCGTTCACTTATACACCAATAATTTACCAAAATATGAACTTATCTCAGATGTCGATTACAAATATATCTTTATTGTTGGTTTAGAATCCTTAACAACTTATCACTAATGGATATCAAAAGCACGGCATAATTAAGTTTGGGTAATGGTTACTTTAATTAGAATGAGTAATAGTCATGTGAATATAACTTAAATAAACAATTAAGAACCAGACCGAGTTTCTTTCTTACATTCATATCAATTTTTTTTTTAGTTCTCTCACTCTTTATTTGATGTTAACAGAGAGATCAAATGGGTACAACAGTCCAACAATTTTATGAACAAAAACATGAAGAGTATTTTAATACTAGAAATAAACTACCTAAAACATTAAAATTTGTTATTTTTCTTTTAAAACATTTGAAGCTTTGTACTATCGGTTACTGTTTGTGTTTTAGTGAAACGCTCCTGAAGAAGTTGTAAAGCGAAACGTTGAGTGTCCAACTAAAGAAAATAACAAATTTTGGTATTTTAAAGTCGTTTACTTATAGTATTCAAATGTTTTTTTTTATACATCAATGAGCATTACAGAAATTAAATATTGAACAATATTGTTATTACACATTTTTATCGACAGAGATTATTCAGACATATAACATTTAATATGAATTGCAATGTTCAAATCTAATTCAATATTTTTCTGAACCCGACTCCAAACATTTCGGATAATCTGATATAACAGATCATTAACTGTCAAAGTGTCATGATGTCAGTTCTAATTTTGTGTATTTCTTGTCCAGTCGAGAGTTTTTATTTTACAGCCTGTTCAAACAAAGAATCTATTTTCCTCACATGCACAGCGGTATGTCTGCGGATTTACAATGCAAAAAAACGGGTTTAGATACCCGTGGTGGGCAGAGCACAGATAGCCCATTGTGTAGCTTTGTGCTTACTTACAAAGAAACAAACACACGCTCCTAATATACCTTTATTCATATACAAAAATTTAACATTCTGAAGACTGCACGAGGTATAAATACAGCTTGATTCAGAAGTCCCTTGACAGGCAAATAAGTCAAAAATGGATAGCTATAGAAAAATAATTGTTAGTGGTAGGAAATGGGGTGTTGTGGGTCTAATGGTAATCATTGAGAAAATTTAAGGCCACTTTTAAAGTTATGTCATTCAAAAATGATATTAATGTGCATCGTATACCCAGAATGTGAATGAAAAAGTTATAGATGATAACAAATGAAACGTTTTAAACCCTAATTTGAGAAAATCGCTCTTTGAAAACAAGAGTTATAGACATAAGTACATCCCGTCCATACATATGACATTGTGCCTCAGAATATCGTTGGTTTATTTGTAAAAAAAGGGCAAAGCTAAATAATGGGATATCTGTGTTGTGCACACCGCAGGGTCGAACCCAGACTTTGACATTATCAACCTTCAATCTTACCGCTGAGCCATTGGAAGAGGGAATAAGGACCACAGATCTAGATCTGGTCATGTTGTCACACAAAGTTTGAAAGTTCTAGATCAGAATTTTGTGTAAGCAGGTCATAAAAAAACAGTATTAAAATAAAAGTCCCCATCATAAGGTACTCTCCAGCATTGTGTAGCGGCTACACCGAAATCATTTCAATTATAGTGCACTATTTAGTTGAGGAACAGTTTAACAGGGTCCTTTCTTCTGTATGAATAGTGTCACCAGGATGTTCTGGTTGCTACTCGGTTGTATATCGAACGGTTCTCAGATGAATGTTATTCTTCACATTAGAGGATAGGAAATGTGTGTCAACATTGCATACTACAGGAATGTTTATGAATAAAAGACATGAGGACAGACTACGAACACAAATTAATATTGACAGTGAAGCCGCCATATTGGCACTTGTCACATTTGGTCAGAACTTTGAACGCAACTATTGATTAGTTGTCACCATTTCGTAAAACTGTTAGGTAGTTTATCCAGTGGCGTAAGTATGCCCCCGCAGCCTCCGCAATGGTGGGAAAGGGGGGGAGCCAAAAGGGACCCGAAGGACCTGTAAAAATTAAGATTTGCCGACAAGGAGAATAAATGTAGGGAGCCTAATTAATGCGGGGGGAGCATCTTTTGTAGTTACACCACTGTGTTTGCCTATTGCTGTGGGACGATTTCGTTAATTTTTGATTTGAAATGTTTAATTTCTTATTGTTTACTCCTTTGTTGTTGAAATCTATGGTGTACGATGCATATTAATAAATGTTTTGAAGGACGCGAAAATGAATGACCTCAATTATATTGTTACAGGGAAGGCCAAAAACACCCCATTCTACACAATTAAATGTTGTATTTTGCATGTGGTATAGATTCAATGACGCTTTTTTTCACTTCTTGAATATATTTACTACTCGGTTAATAAGTTATTGTTCTGTCTAATAATTATTTTAAGAGATCATTAAATGTCGTTTTACATTAAGCTAAATTTTATCTGTATGAAAATAGTTTAAAGTGTTTTTATTTATTACACGACAAATTATACAAATGGAAAGCAAATAAAATGGAAACAGCCAGGGTTAAAATCTAGGTATTCATCATATTGCTTTATTGATTCAGTTACTATAAAATCTCAAATTGTGGTAAACAGTTTCTTTTATAGCTGATTTAGTTTTTAGAAAAGTGATAAAGAGGTATAAAGAATGTTCTTATATTATTTAATTTTATTTCCTATGACTAGATGGAGCCACTTGGAAGTGAGACTTTACTTAGGATAATTCCATATAGCTTTTATACAAAATATTATGTTTCTGCATAATTCCCTAAATTTAAATATTCAATGTGTTTTAATTGTGGTTGGATTGCAGACTACTCTTACAGATGGAATACACTCATTATGTGCCCACGGGGTTGTACCGAAATAGATGCTGTAATTTATATATCAATAACTTTCAGGTAACCCAAAACATGGCATATTGGAATAATATCACTGTTAAAAATTACTATCAAAACTTTTTTATTTCATCTACCATACGACCATCACAGAAACCTTTTTTACAGCATATAAGTTACACTTACAGAAACTGGATACGTTAAGCAGGCAGTAAATATTCAATAAATAAATTTTCTGTTTCTGTTATGAAGAATCCAGTTACTGCTTTTAGTTCTCGAGTTTTGACTAACCATGCTAAAACCACACATTACACAGTATCTATTAATATAGACTGCCAGCGTGGATTAGTTGTTCTGACACTAACACTCCAGTCCGGAGAACACGAAAATAGTTAATATTTGACACCTACTTAGCTGCTTTCAAAATAAATTTGTCTTACAGCTATTTTGTCTCTCGTCTATTATAAAAAGCAAACTTGTTTTTTTTTTTATCAAGCCTTTTATCAACAGAATAATAACTACTAATTCTAATGGACTTGGTCTGTTACCATACATAGTTTCTTAATTGCTATTTTATAGTTTACTATATATTTCTTTTGATTCATAATCAATTAACATGTAGGTAATAGCGTCAATTTCTTCAAATTGAAGTTTATATAAATGGGTTGGTAAAACAGTAACCCAAGAGTCGACGGTGGGTGGTGATGACTAGCTGCCTTCTCTCTAGTCTTACACTAGCGCAGATAGCCCTCGCGTAGCTTTGCGCGAAATTCAAAACAAACAAACCAAATTATATAAATGGATTGGTTTAATATATTATATGATCGAACTTTAAATATCGCATAACCTAGGCGTCCCTGTTAAAAAGAAACCATTGTAAATAAATGATTGTTCAACGTTTTATCAAACATACACGCGATTTCATTCGTTAATTCTTAGGTATTCCGTTGTTTATAGTCGGGAATTAACGAACTTAATTTATTAACGTTCTGAATTCGATGACGAGGAACCCACTTTGAGACTAATAATGGTTGGAGACGGCTTGAATGGCTAATGAAGAAAACTTTAATATAAGTTTAACATTATGTACAACATTTGCTGTTATTTTAAACTTATATTAAAGTTTTTCTTCATTACCCATTCAAGCCGTCTCCAACCAATATTATTAACGTTCTGTTGTTATTGATCGAACTCTTCGCCGTTCTTTGGATTAACGAAAAAGCTCGTTATATACCTTTTCCAGTTGAATGGCATTGATATAGAATGACTAATACATCCAGACCGCTGATGTGTGAACTAACTGATTCGTTAAGGCATGCTTGCGTGAACAGCATTTCTAATCTATTGTTAGGCTTTTTTTTTATCGTTACATCGATTATTTGTTGTTTTACAGACGCCGATCGAGACACTTTAAATACAACTGAACATAAGCAGTGAAACATATCTGAATTCGGGAGGAGGGAACCGACGATTGAGGGTAACTATAATCGCTATGTTAACCATGAACATTGAATTCAAAACTAAAACTATGACTTTCCATGATAGTTATACACAAGTTACAAGGGGAACTTCGCTACCTGTTCAAAATTGGGAGCACATGCCTACAGTACCCCACCCAGGTTCCGATGTCTGTATTTCCTAAACCAAAGAATAAAAATGTATTTGCCAGCAAGCATGTTTATTTTTGATAAGATGCCCTGCTCTGGACTAGAAAAGAGACCTACTCCAAGTATGGAAAGGGGTGTCGAAAATAATGGGGAGATGGGAATCTTAGAACTCCTCAGGCCCCTACACACACACACTGGTTAAGTTGCAAGATCAGTTTTTCAGGGTTCGTTATGTTTATTGTTGAGAGACTTTGCAAAATGATTTAGTAAAGTTCTTTGTCTTACTAGCAAACAAAGTCAAATTATACTTGTATTTAGCGAAATTTATCCTGTTATTTGCAAAGACAAATTTATTTAGATATTACTTTCATTATGGACTTCGCAATTCCTAGTTTTGTGTTTTACATACGAATATTTCTTTGCTTAAAGTATTTTAAAAGACATAATGGGTCATATATTTAGGATTGTTCATAAAGAAATTTCGCTTTAAAAGTAATGCAATTAATTTAACTGTTTTGCATTTCGATAAGGTGTGGAGGCAGTGAGATATTCTTTGTCACTTACTGTGCAAAAGGTATTTGTTTTCTTAAAGAAAATAGGGAACGAACCCATAATTTAAGTGTTTTAAACTTGAAGCTTACCGCTTAGCTACCGTGGGCTGTTAAGAGTATGTTGATTTGTTTCACTATACATAATATACAGAGACATCTCAAAAGTAAATAGACACCATGATGTTTATTCAATAGACATTTAATTAAGAAAGGCATCCAACGGCTCCCATGGCCAAGTCAGTCACCTGATGTGAACCGCATCGAGCATGTCATACTTGCTCGAACAGTGAGAAGAAGTTTCAGAAAACCAACGTCCCCTGGAGAGCTACTTGATGGTTTACGTGCAGCCTGGGTCAAGATCCGACAGGAGAAAACTGCAGAACTCATCGATTCCATGCCAGAACGAGTCAAAGCACTGAAAAATGACTCATCGATTCCATGCCAGAACGAGTCAAAGCACTGAAAAATGATAATGGCAAATCGACTAAGTACTTGTGCACATTTGTAAACATTTTTGTCAAGTTGATAATGTGAGATAAATAACTATTGAAAATCTTGGTGTCTATTTACTTTTGAGATGTCTCTATACAAGTTGCCCCCCAGTGTCACAGCGGTATATCTGCGGACTTACAACGCTAGAAACCGGGTTTCGATACCCGTGGTGGGCAGAGCACAGATAGCCCTTGTGTAGCTTTGTGCATAATTAAAAACAAACAAACAAACTGTACAAGTTTAAACAAAAAAAATGTTAATCAACTAGGCTAATATTCAGTCATAATTATATTACATTACCGATTTAGCAAATATTCAAGCTTAAAATGATACCAAAGTAAGTTACATTTTAAATGTAATACAATAATCTATAACTATAACCCAATTATTAGGTATCATATGTTTGTGTTAAATTGAGTTCTCGAGCCTACGTGCTTTCCTAACACCGTGAATTTTGAATTTAATAATAGTGATAAAAATCATACCGGATGGTATTTTTTCTACATTTTTATGACGCACTTAAGAAACTAGCGAGAGAGTAAAAAAGGGTTTAAATAATTTTTTTGTCTCTTACATGACAGTGCTGAGAAGGCGTTTCGTTTCTCTACGAGAATACGTCAGTTTGGTTGAACACGTTGCCAGAGAAAAAAAGCCTGATAAAAATGCTATTATATATTCAGTACAAAATATTCATTGTATTAATTGAGATGAATTTAAAAAATAAAATGTAGTCTTGTGTGATTTTTAAACCAGTATAATTAGACCTTTTGGTTTCATTGCTTCGTTGGTTTTGGGAATTTCAAACCGTAACATTAAGTTAGTATTTTCTTTCATAGTTACAAAGAAATGAGTTATTCCTGGTTGGTTATTTGGGGTTTTATGGCGCAAAGCAGCCAGGCTACCTGCTCAAGAGTCATTCATGATATATTTTATGAAATTTTATTTTATTTGTTATAAAGAGATGGCGCTGTTTAGAGGGTATGTGGACTTTACAGTGATAGATGTACTGAATTTAATTTCAAATAACGTTTAAGAAAACTTTAGAAGATGGTTTGAACTTCTCTAAAATAAAAATCTTCAATATATACGATAAAATTTAGGATTGGAAATTATTCTGGTAGGTGACGCCATTATCCGGTTATCGTTTTACATCTTTACATAAAATGTAATACTGAAATGAGGAATAAAAACGGGAAAAATCCGAGTTGATTAAAGGGAACTAATTAAACACAGTAAAAAAAGTGTATACGTATTCCTATTTGTTACAAGTACAGTTAAAGATATTGATTAAAAAACCCAGTATGAAGTTAATAGGCTTGTTTAATTATAATAGGTTCTTAGATATAAATAGCTCATAATAACTAAGGTTTAAAAATTAAAGAAACTCAAACTTCAAATTATCACAATGACACTATACAGGTAAAGCTGAAGTTGTACCTTTTAATAAGCCTAATTGCTAGCAACAGCATTTCATTACAGATCTATTTGGTTGACGAAGAAACTTTTTTTTCAGTCCAGTTTATAAGTTTCTACCATAATGCTCTTCTCTGCAAAATGTATCTTTCTTTTTTCTGCATAGAAAATTCCTGGTAATATAATTTTTGTTATTTTGACGATAAAGATTAATTTATAGAAAGTAACATTTTGTTATCTGGTCAATGTTGTAATACGGAAATATTAATGTTATTGAGTAATAATATGTTTTGACCTCAACAAACCTTAAATTTTATAATCTAAACCGATTGTGTATGGTTTTTGAATTTCAAATATATAGATATTTATCAATTACAGAAAATTTACAATGTTTGCTTATAACATATGGAAAAAAATATCACAATAAGAATGATAATATTTTGAAACAAATAATTATTTACTGAGTTTTCAATAAGAGGAGTGATTAATAGTATTTCAACTCCGTTCTTTCCTGCTGTCGACAAGGTCTTCATTCCAGCACTATAGCTCATTAAACTCACTAAGTTACAACATGAAAAGTCTTAGTTTTAAACGCTATTTTAACTGTCGCTCTAAAAGTTCCACACCCTATGATGCGATCAAGGGCGTATTAACCAAGGCAAGTGCAATAATTTGAGGTGTGCATCCTACGGAAAAATTAAAAATAAATTCGATTTTCAAATTCTTATATCAAAACAAATTTCCATCTATTTCATTGCATTTTACTTTATTCTTCTTCTCGTGTTGATGGATAATTTTCCTGGTGAGTCATTCGAGAAGGAAGGGACGCATCTAAAGTTGTGGGCCTAGAGCGTCAGTTAATACGCCCCTGTATACGATATAGGTTTGTGTATTTATGTATGTATCTATGTGTGTGTGTGTGTGTATATATTTCTTACTTGATAATATATTCTCATGGAATATTTATACACAATTATTCAACGTTTTAAAATACACCAATAAACCTAATGACTCAATAATGGTAAATTATGATAGTAACTATTCGGTCTAATGGATAGAAACGTGTATCAAGTTATGTGCTAAAATATTCAAAACTGTTGTCATTTACTTTTCAACAGTTGGAACTTTTCACAGAAAACTATTAAACTATCAACCTGAAACAGATGGAAGAAAGTACGCCTTTTCTGAGGAGGTAAAACTATCCAGTGAATTCCTAAAGTAAGTGTGTAAATCTCGCGTGATTTCGGCGAGATATTTATTAGTGTGAGAAATAGTTGTTAAAGTTAGGCTAGATATTGATAAGATCTGAGTGTCGATTTCAGCCTCAGAAATTGAACTTATTAAGTTTATCTTAAATATTATAACATCCTTCTCAAATAAACGGGAAAAATCAGAGGTACGTCTATTACTACGGGGTCTTTTTTAAGAGCTTTGATAATAGAAATTGCATCTAAATGAATTGATAAGCGTAATATATATTTTTTGAAGTACCCGAAATTTTGTTTCTCTGAGCATTATCCTATCCAATTACCCTTTTTAAGCATACAGGTAACCCCTGAGCTATCAGACATTTTGAAAGTAAAACTCATACCGTACACAACCCATCTTTTTTATGTATTTCACGTTTTACGTATTTCACATCATTTTTTGTCACCTGTTTCACTAACGACAAAGTTTGGTCAAAATGTTACTGTTTCTTACCGTGTTTCTAGTGTCATTTTTATTTCAGTTCTCTAGCACTTCTCTTATTTATTAACTTACCACTACTAGTTGTTAATTTCTTTCAATTATCAAATGCATTGTTAGACACATTCTCGTATTCTACACCTCTAGTGTTATTGTTATAGAGAACAATGTTTACTTCATCATTTGGACTGTGT